CGTGATCTTGCCGATGTCCTCATGAACCCCGGTAACCGCCCCAGCTCTGCATCCCCGGGCAGTGCCCCGTGTACCCCGATAACTGCCCCCAGTACTCTCCTAGTCCCCCTGTGTACCCGAGTAACTGGCCCCCAGTGGCCTTGTGCCTACTGGTGTCCCAGTACCCATCCCAGCTCCACACCCCCAGTACTGACCCCAATACCCCAGTAACTGCCCTGGTATCCTCACACCCCTTGTACCCCTGTAACTGCCTTAGTTCTGCACCCCCAGTATTGCTCCCAGTACCCCAGTGACTGCCCCCGTACCTTCATACATGTACTGCAGGTGCTGTCAAGCACGGAGGAGCTGGTGGAGCTGTACCGGGAGCTGAGCCGGCACCCAGGGCTCAGCACCGCCTGCCTTGGACCTGACGTCACCACCCAGTATGGGGGCAAGTACTGCAGCCTCTACACAGGTATGAGGACGGGGTGCACCCCAGAGGTGTCCGGGGGTCTCTGCTTGCCCGCCTGGCGGGGACGCAGCACATGTCCTCGCCCTGCTCTTCTCAGAGTGGTCGCAGCGGGACCTGGAGCGGGCTGAGAATGTCAAGTTCTGCCGCCAGTACCTGATCTTCCACGACGGGGCTTCCGTCGTCTACTCGGGACCTGCTGGCACCTGCTCCGAGATCAAGGACCAGTGAGTCCAAACTAATACTGTCCCTTGTGCCGACGTCTCCTTGGGGTGCCAGTGGTGGGGGTTGACGGGCACCCATCTACTCACCCGCAGGCTGCTGAGCAAGGAGTCCCCCAGTGGGGCACTGAAGGCCGTCCTGTGCAAGGTCCGTGGCAAGGAGAAGGAGAAGGAGAAGCAGTTTCTAGAGGTGAGGAGGAGGCTTAGAGGGACTGGATCCACACTGGGGCTCAGGGCTACCCAAACATCTCTGCCCCAAGGTCTGGGATCAGAACTGCAAGGTGAAGAGCATCGACCTGACGGCACTGGACAAGCATGGCAGCATCTACAATGATGGTGAGGGGCTGGGGAATGCAGGGTCCAGGGGGGACTGGGTGGTGGGTGCCTGACCTGCTCCTGCAGACCAGTTTGGGTGCCTGGCCTGGTCGCACTCGGAGACCCACCTGCTCTACGTGGCTGAGAAGAAGCGTCCCAAGGCTGAGTCCTTCTTCCAGAGCAAAGCCCCCAAGCTGGGCACTTCCGATGAGGACATGGGGCGCCCCGAGAAGGACATGCCCCTCAAGGTGGGGTCCCCTCGCCCCAGGGTGGGCAGGATGCAGAGGGGCAGCTGTGGGGCTGACGGGACTGTGCCACAGGGGGAGCAGTTCGTGTACCACGAGGACTGGGGGGAGGCGCTGAGCACCCGCAGCGTGCCTGTCCTCTGTGTCCTGGACATCGAGGGCAGTAGCATCTCTGTGCTGGAGAGCGTCCCGGAGCACCTCGCTCCTGGCCAGGTGAGGATGAGGACCCCATGAGGATGAGGTTTTGGGGCCCCGCAGCCAGCTAAGCTGCTCACCGCCTCTCTTCACACAGGCTTTCTGGTCCCCCGGTGACACCGGCGTGGTGTTTGTGGGCTGGTGGCACGAGCCTTTCCGCCTGGGGCTGCGGCACTGCACCAACCGCCGGTGAGTCCCTGCAGGGCACCCTCCCCACAGCCGGGCCCCCTAACCCCGCAGTGACACCCATCTCTGCCGGCAGGTCAGCGCTCTTCTACGTGGACCTGACGGGTGGGAGATGCGGTGAGTGGTGCGCGCCCCGACCCCGTGGGCTCCCCGGCTCCCCGCAGCCCCTCACTGTGCCCCCATGGCCGTGCAGAGCTGCTCTCCGAGGACACCAAGGCCGTGTG